GGTGAGAGTCTAGCCAGAACAGTGAGTTCCAAGTTCATTAAGATACCCTGTCTCAAGTAAGTGGAGAGCAGTTGAGGAAGACATCCAATTTCTACCTCTGGCCTCCACATACACATGCAAACACATGTACATGTACAAGCACACACACACACACACACACACACACACACACACAGAGAAACATACACATATACAACCTCTCTGCACTTCTGTCTGTTCCAACGCCAGAGTAGATTCCTAGACACTCTAACTTCTGGATCCACTTGTGCTGATTCCTCCATTCACCTTTACACAAAATATCAGAAAATCTACTTGCCAGTCTTATTTATTGATTCCAGTTACAACACATGAAACAAGAACTCAAACCCAAGCCCAGAAATTAATAGGCAGCAGGACTGTGGCCAGTGACTGGAAGTTACCTGGTCACAGACTCCACCTAAAATATTCCTGCAACTAGATCATAATGTTATAAATTTGTATAGTTTGCTGGATAGCTTCAGTTGTTAACTTGACACACCTGGGTAGAAGAAGCCTCAACTGAGGAATTTTCTCCACTGGACTGGCCTGTGGCCATGTCTGTGTGACATTTTCTCAATTGTTGAGTGATATGGGAGGACCCATCCCACTGTAGGGAGTACCACCCATGGGAAGGTGGTCCTGGATTATACAAGATAACAGGCTGACCAGGCAAGGCGAGCAAGCCAGTAAGCAGTGTTCCTCTATGGTATCTGCTTCAGTTCCTACCGCCAGAATTCTGCCCTGAGTTTCTCCCCTGACCTCCCTTGATTATGAACTATGACCTTGGAGTTTACATGTAAAATAAATAAACTCTTTCCTCCCCAAGTTGGTTTTGGTTAGTATTTTTATCACAGCAATATAAAGCAAACTAGGACAGTTTGTTAACAAGTATGCAGCTTTTCTGAGTTCTTAACATGTGTCAAAGTGCCAGACTACTCATTCCATGAAGAGAGTAAAGCTGCTAGTCATAATATATATAAAACTCTTGCTTCTCAGATTTTGAACAGAGAAGCTACAGAAAGAACGGAATGTGCTATCCACCATTATCATCAAGGTCATCATTAACAGCAATATAAATGAGAAAATCAGTAAGAGTATGGTAATCGACAGCCTAAATCAGCAATTTTGACCCATAAGGTTTTCACAGAACTACAAGAAAAGCTAATGGAAAAGACTTGTCCCATAACTCTAAGTACTAAAGGAGGGTTTATAAATAAATAAATATATATGCAAAAAATTTACTAGTGTGATATTTTATAGCCTTGTAGATTTGAAAGATTTTTTTTAATTTCATTAATACTAAAGTATTAAGTCTATAGACCATTTTACAAATGACTGTATTTACTAAGTTTAAAGATTTTAAACATTTACATTCTGAGTGATACAAAAATCAGAATAAGTATTTAGAACAAATTTCCACACACTCTAAGTTGAAGAGGTACTTTTGTAAGAATTTGATGGGGCTGCAAGATGGCTCATCAGTTAAGAGCATTGACTAGTCTTGCAGAGAACCCAGGTTTGAGTCTCAGCACCCACATGGCAGGTAACAACTGTCCATAACTCCAGTTCCAGGAAATCTGACGCCCTCTTCTGACCTCTGCAGGCAGGCAATACACTCATACACATAAAATAAATATAAAATTTTATAAAATAAGAAAAAAAAACATTCATCACAGAATTTTAGAAAGCATATAGAAAGTCTGGTCCTATTTTGCTGAATAAAGAAAAATGCAAAATATGAAGGCATGAATAGTTAAATGTAAGCAATTAGTAGTGTGTTAGCTCTTGAGTTTTGTGCTCACAAAACTTTATTAGATTATACCAAAGTATATACGCCATGAATCAAATTTTGTATCTCATGTCCAAAAGTGAAAGAAATAGGTCACAAGTAACAAATCCACAAGATCTAGCAGTGGGGAAAATAGCTGACACAGATACAACTCTCAGAGTAAACAGCAAATAATTAGATGTTTTACTAATGAAGTGTCTAAATATTAAAGAGAATTTACCAAGATGGTCTTCATTTTACCTAGCATGACATGGTCACTTTCACATCCTAAAACTCTGTAATTACAATGGATTATATATACATGTTAAGGCAGTATAAGTCTATATTATTCACTGAATCACTATGCATTTCTTTAAGTGTCCTTTGCTGAAAATATATATTTTAGACATACTTTTCAGTGCACTAGAGATTAAGCAATCAACAAGCGTTAGACGAACGAGACTAAGCATTCATACAAACTAGACCTGCCTTCCTATCAAAGCATTTAACAATCATGTTTTTATTTTGGTTTGGTTTGTTTGTTTGTTCTGTTGAGAAAGGGTCTCACTAAGTAGCTCTGGTTAGCCTGGAACTTGCTATGTAGACCAGGCTGGACTCCAACTCACAAAGATCTGCCTGCCTCTGCCTCCTGAGTCCCAGGATTAAAAGTGTACACCACCACACCTGGAGAACAATTGTGTATTCTTATATCAACCTCAATTAAGCCTCAGATATCTTTTAATCATATTTTAATACTAATTTTCCCATATTCATGCCAGTCAATTTCTACTTTCTTACCCTAATTTTATGTTCTTTCTTCATTATGATTCTACACTGTAATAGCTTCAAATAGTTTAAGTGGAACTCTTCAGGTTTACTCATTCGTGCATCATTTTTTTATTACATATAATGCTAAACAAAGCTTAAAACCTGATAATAAGGCTGGAGAGATGGCTCAGCAGTTAAGAACACTGACTGTTCTTGCAGAAGACCCAGGTTTGAATCCCAGCACCCACATGGCAGCTAATAATTGTCCATAACTCCAGTTTCAGGGGATCCAACAGCCTCTTCTGTCCTCCGCAGGCATTGGACAACACGGGTGCACTTACCTACATGCAGGCAATACATGCATACGTATAAAAATTTTTAAAAAATAAATAAACCTGACAATATTTTTAAATGTCATTTAATTTACAATTTTTTTCCCACATTTTAATTCCAACCAAGCATAAATCTGAGTATACTCTTCAGGGGTGTATATTGCTAAATAATTTATCTAAATGTTAAATGTAATTTTCAAAAA